CCCCCGCCGGGGGCCGAGGCCTACATCCCTCAGCGTTACCCCGACAACCGCATTGTCTCCTCCAAGGTGAGCAGGTGCCATGGCAACCAAGCAGTCAGCACAACAACCACGTCATTTAGCACTGACAACCAAGCCTGTTGTGCTCTTGTGACAGTATGTCATCTACGATTAGCAACCTCTTCATGTGGGTGACAACCATAGATATCTGCTACTGCTCAAGGTTCGTTAGCTGTATTGTTGTTATCATTGTTGATATCATTTTGGGATGAAATTGAGAAAGAAAAGACACACACACACACACACACACACACACACACACACACACACACACACACACATGAGCACCCACACTGGTATAAAGTATTATTCCCTCTCTCTAGAATACGTGTTGATAATGTGTGTGTTCTCTCTACCAGTACACCTTATGGAACTTCATCCCCAAGAACCTGTTTGAACAGTTCAGAAGAATCGCCAACTTCTACTTTCTGCTCATATTCCTGGTCCAGGTGAGAATATGCCATCTCTCTGAACCCCAGGGCTATTTTATCATACATTATCAGTTAAACACGTAGGCTATGTGAAGTGAATTTGAGTTAATTGTTTGGCGTCCATCTCAGTACAATGGAGAACCTGAATGAATGATAATCAGCTGGTTCTCTTCCTCTTTCCTCTTTTTCTCTCTCCTCCTCAGCTCATTATAGACACGCCCACCAGCCCTGTCACCAGTGGACTGCCTCTCTTCTTTGTCATCACCGTCACCGCCATTAAACAGGTAGGAGACACGCACAGACACACACACATCCTCTGGTCATTGGTGTTGGTAAATCTAGGGAAGCCTTCCTCCACTGTGTTCCGGTAGTGACAGCAGATGTGATGATAGCAGTGATGCATGAACCACACGAAGCCCAGGCCTTATACAAGCATTAGTCTAAAACAGGACATGTTGTGTAGAGGCCCTGCAAACGGGTCACCATGCTGACGGAACATACCACTAATTAGATACCACCGAAGACCATGTATGACCGTATCTCTCTCTCGCTCTCTCTCTCTCTTCCTCACTCTCCTCTCCTCCCTTCCTCCCCTTCTCTCCTCCAGGGTTATGAAGACTGGCTGAGACACAAGGCAGACTGCAGTACAAATGAGTGTCCTGTGGATGTGGTGCAGCAGGGGACGGTGGTGAGGACGCAGAGCTCCAAGCTACGGGTATGACTACCCTATTAATGGGCCTTCTACTCTCCAGTCTACTACACATTATTATGAAGCCTTTGGGCCTCACTGGCTGGTGTTTCTCTATTCTATGTATGGTCAGACAGAGCCTTTAGCTGTAATAGCTATAGTATGTGAGTATAATGGCTAGTATGAGAGCTCATCCCTCTTCTATTTTATTCATATTCATGTAACAAAATGGACTGATTATTTTGTACATTGAATAATACCCATAGTTATATAACCTTTGAACATTTATATCATAGCCACGGCTATCATCTTTGATCATATTGAAATTAAATCCATTCCTGAGACCTTTAAGGCTGGTCTCCATTGGAACGTACGTGCGTTTGTCTGCGATGCCATAGCTAGCGTCCCAGAGAAGATTAACATTACCCAACAGTACCATCCCAAACATTCCTGTTGTGATTACTCTGGTCCCGTACAGGGAAAAGGATTTGCCTTTCCAGACAGATTAAATATCAACCTGTGATGTCAGACTGGACTAGGATCAGAACAATGGTGTTACCATAGAATTAGAATTTAATAGGATTTCTATGAGTGTTACTGTGAGACACATTGCAGTGTCATAGCCACACAGCAGATAACAGAGACCGAGCGGAGACAGGGACTATGTCTCATTTAAAGCAGAACTCTGTAATCTCCGGCAGGTCCATGTACTGTAATATCTATAGTTGTATTTGAGTGTGCGTCGGCATGTGTTGCCATGCCGTCCACTGAAACGTGACCTGACTATGAAAGACATTCGTCATCCACACACACATACATGCACATTCTACCGAAGTTCCTCACCCATGGTCCCCCGACTCCCCCCACAGATCAAACAGAGTGGATTATGGGGGAAATAAGGAAGAGGAATAGTAAAGAATATAGTAGTAATCGCTATAGCGCGTGTATGTGTAGTACGGTCACCATGGAGATGGGATTTATAGGCAGTTAAGATGCTCCACTTGCATAATCCCACCGTTACGCAACAACTCAGTCCCCAGGAATAAGGAGTGGAATATGAAAGTGTTTGCAAGGCATGTGTGTTTCCTGTTGGATAACTGCTACTCATGTGTAATTATTTCTGGATCTGCAGCAGTATGGTGGCTCACCAGATCCAAAACACCTCTGTTTGTTTACAATGGCATGGGGTTTATAAAGGAAAAATTTAAATGACATCCCATCCCCCAAATAGTGCAAACATTTTGACCACCAGAGCCACCAGGTATGGCTCTGGTCAAAAGCAGTGCACTGTATGAGGAATTTGGTAGTCCCAGGGGTGTAGGCACCCATTCAGATTGAGCAAAAACATTTATTAAAAGTGTTCCAAATGGGACATTTTTTGTATTTTTACCTAAACATGCAAACACCATCAGATAGAATTCATAGCAAGCAGTGCACTGAGTTAGTCAGATTTGATTAAATATAACAGAACAGATTAACTGGAATGACATTCACTCTCACGGAAGGGGTTGCCAAAAATAACTAACTAAACCACGAAGAAGTATATTTTTCTCTGCTCATTTGTCTCTTTGCCCCATGGCAAAATGTGTAAAATTGCAGGAAGTTAGCTGCTTCCCAAAAAAAGCCCACCCACCAACACATTTCTGGCTACACCACTGGGTAGTCCACTCCACTTCGATCAGGTCAATAGTAGTGCACAAGGGAATAGGGTGTGATTTAGGACCCAGCCTGTATTTCTTGAGTCTAAACTGATGATCGTTGTTGATGTGGTTGACCTGTCAGGTTGGGGATGTTGTCATGGTGAGGGAGGACGAGACGTTCCCCTGTGACCTCATCCTCCTCTCGTCCAGCCGCGATGACGGAACCTGCTATGTCACCACCACCAGTCTGGATGGAGAGTCCAGCCACAAGGTATACACACACACTCTCTCTCTCACACACACACACTCACACCGTTACACACACGCTAGGGTTGCACAATATTGGAAATAACTGACATTGCGATATTTTGTTTTTCTGCGATATGAAAAAATACAGGATGTCTTCACCAGATGACTTGAAAAGCTCTATTTGAGAATAATTAATTATTCTAGAATGATTGGGGTGATTTTGTAGGGAACTGCATCTTCATGGAAAATTAAAATTAAAAAATGAGAAAAATAGTTGCGTGATGGCATTACATACCGCTTGTCAAGCGACCGGATCATGTTTTTAAAACCCTCTTTGGTAACCGTGTTAATTGGTACCATGTCTTTGGCGACGTGAAATGTTATTGAATCTGTGATTTCTCTCTGCCGTTTGGAACCTTTCTCGTATGGTGTAATACTGGCAAAGGCATCCAAAATAGATTTTTGCTTTGGAGGGCATTGAGATGCTTTGCACTCGTCATAGGAAGATTTGTGGTGCCGCCTTAAATGATCGAACAAATTGGTCGTGTTGTGGCAACAATTGCAAGGCACTCTCGACAAAGTACCTGTTTTTGGTCAACATCATCCTGTCTGTAGCCGAAATATTTCCATATAATTGACGATGCATTTCTTTTTGCAACCAAATTCAAAATTTCTGTATTTTTTGCCTGTTCCTCGCTCATCATTTCGTCACGCGCAAGCAGAGCCTGCATGTCTACCACGTGCAGCAACGAACTCCGTGTTTAAAATAATAACAATAATAATAAACTGTGTATCCAATAACCCATAAATCAGAGTAAATTACGTTATATCAGACAGATATAATGCTAGTTTAACATTTTTAAAAACATATATTGTAGACTGATATATGTTTACCTTACTAAATCGCACGTTCTGCGATGTGACTATTGCGGATGCATACATCGCAATGTCGATGCTGAAATGATATAACATGCAGCCCTAACACACGCACGTACACTGCTGGGATCCACCCCTTAATTTTTCCAGCATGCTCTCTGATCAAACATGACTTCTCAGTGATTCATCTCTCTCCCTCCTACTATGCTGTGTCAGACCTACTATGCTGTACCAGACACCATGGCCTTTAAGACAGAGCAGGAGGTGGACTCTCTACATGCAACTATTGAATGTGAACAACCACAACCTGACCTCTACAAGTGAGTGACACACAATGTGTGACACACACAGAATCATTGAGTGACCTGTTCGTTTGTTGAAAATTGCAAACATTTTATTTTTCTCATTTAGATTTGTGGGGCGCATCAATATTTATAAGGAAAGAGAAGATCCCTTAGCCAGGTAAGACCAGCATCCCCCTCTCTCATTCTTAAACCATCTTTGAACAGGACATGTTTTTTATTTCTTTTGATCTTGCTCCTCTTCTCATGTTAGACCCCTGGGAGCTGAAAATCTTCTCCTCAGAGGAGCTACCCTGAAGAACACAGAACACATTTATGGTAACACACACACTGTTCTGTGTATAAAGTTATATCTATGGTTATATTTGAGTGTGAGTCGGCACATGTTGCCATAGCCATACCGTCCACCGAAACGTGTCCTGACTATGAAATACATTCTTCACACACACACACACACACACTGTTCTGTGTCTGTGTCTGTATTGATGGTAACCCCTGGTTGTTGTTCCCTCAGCTGTAGCCATCTACACAGGCATGGACACCAAGATGGCGCTTAACTACCAGTCCAAATCCCAGAAACGCTCAGCTGTGGAAAAGTAAGATCTGTTCCTATTCCTTCCCCTCTCTGTGTCTAATTGCTTTGGTGTGGGTATAACTACCTGTCTGTTGAAGTATAGCAGGAGTTAGCATAGTAGAAGGAATAGTAGACTCTCTGTTATTACATAAAGTCTGCATAATTCTATTTGATCTCGTTCAAGCGGGGTGTGTGTGTGTGTGAAACGCTCTATTGACAATCTGTTTGCATCCAGTTCTGTAGAACCAATCTGCATTTAGCTCATCTAAACTTCTCCTCTCTCCCTCCCCCTAACTCCCTCACTCTCTCCCTCCCTCTATCTCCCTCCAGGTCGATGAATGCATTCCTAATCGTGTATCTGTGTATCCTGATCAGTAAAGCGGTCATTAACACGGTTCTGAAGTATGCATGGCAGTGTTCACCTGATCGCGACGAACCCTGGTACAACCACAGGACCGAGATTGACAGAGGACGCCATGTGGTTAGTCCCCCAAACCACTACGCTACCCACAATGCACGCTGTCATGGCAAAATGATTCATCAGGTCACACCTGTTCAACGTTAACTGATTCTGATAAAGCCTCTTGTTCTCTGTCTCTAACCATCCTTTCGTTCTCTCCCTGCATCCTCCGTCTCTCTCTCCCTCCCTCTCAATCTCACTTCCCTGCCTCTCCCCCTCCCTCCATCCTCTCCTCTCTCTCTCAGGTGATCAGGGCGTTCACAGATTTCCTGGCCTTCATGGTGTTGTTTAACTACATCATCCCAGTCTCCATGTATGTTACCGTGGAGATGCAGAAGTTCCTGGGTTCTTACTTCATAGCCTGGGACAAGGATATGTATGATGAGGAGCTGGGGGAGGGGGCTCAGGTCAACACATCTGACCTCAACGAAGAGCTGGGACAGGTACACACACTCACACATATCCTGAACATCTAGATATACTAGACTCACTCGTATGCACACACACACACACACAAACACACACGCACAAACATATAGTGCACACACACATTTATACTGCACGTATAGTACACAAGCACACTCATATACGTATACTACACACACTCCAAAAACTGATCTCAGGGCACGTATCCATAAAGCATCTCAGAAAAGGTCCTAGGAATCCTTTTAAAACCAGTTTTTAAGACAAAAAAAACCCTCCCAGCTCAGAGTAGGTTTTAGGATGATGGTAAGACACGAACTCTGAGCCAGGAGTAAAATCAACTCATAGAAGTTTATCTCAGTTGGTAATCACGACAGTTTGAGGTACCGCAAAGGAAAGATAGTGATGATCCTCATTGACATTGTTGCAAATGATGGGGAATAACCAATCACGAGGAGGCATCGCCAGCTGTGAACTCTGTAGCATGCTTAGGACAACGATGGTGAATGTGGCTGTACATCTTAATGTCGCAATGGTAAAACGTTTAATCTAATTTTGCCTGACATGATCACTTCTCTTAATTATCGCCTAATAAGCTTTTTTGAACCAATTCTGATGTTTGTTAAAAGTAGAATTTTGACAATATTACCAGTCGGCCTCAAACCACTTGCCGGTAATGTTGCATACAACGTTTGAAAGTACTGTCATATTCATCGAAGACAATCAAAGTTAGCATAAGCCCTAGATGCCTTCAATTACCTAATTTATAGGCATGCCTAATTTAGGCATATTTTTTAACAATGTGATATTGCGCTCCAAAGGGATAACTTGAAATAACATAATGTAGGTAATTCAATAATCAAAAGAAAAATATGTTTATTTATTAGCCTATTTGTTATAAGTATTTAGGCATATCATGTGAAATAGGTCTTATGTGAAATCATTGTCAAAGGCACAAGAGATACTGTTTCATGTAGGTCTCGATTATTTGTGGATTGATTCTTTAGAATTATCAAAACATTCTTTCAACAACTCCTAAGCAATTGCATGTGGTGCAGGAACCACTGACTCGCTGCATTTTTCGATTATTAAGACACCTGCTGGTAACTCTTAACTAGTTAGGACAGCTCATGAGGTCTCCTAAATATATGTTGACTCGGTGTGACTATTATGACTAAAGAGGTTTCATGCAAAGCTTTTATTTTTACCCGTAAGAGTAGGAGTAAAATGTCTCTATTCTGAGCACTTATGACCAATCTTCTACTCTGAGACGCTTTGTGGATACGGGCCCAGGTCAGCATCTAGAGATAACTTCTGCTTCTGTCTGTGTGTGCAGGTAGAGTATGTGTTTACTGATAAGACCGGGACGTTGACAGAGAACAACATGGAGTTTATAGAATGCTGTGTGGACGGACATGTCTATATCCCCCATGCCATCTGTAATGGACAGATCCTCAGTGCTGCTTCCAGCATAGACATGATCGACTCTTCACCTGGAGGATACCGCAGGGTAAGACAGAGAGAGAGAGTGTGTGTGTAACAGTGTGTAACAGTGTGTAACAGTGTGTCTGTGTTCCTGTGTGTCTCCAGGAGCATGAGGAGCTGTTCTTCCGGGCTCTGTGTCTGTGCCACACGGTGCAGGTGAAGGAGGAGGAGACAGTGGATAGCATCAAGAGAGGGATCCACCAGGGAAAACCCACCTCCTTCTACATATCATCCTCTCCTGATGAGGTGGCTCTGGTGGAGGGCATGAAGAGGTAACAGACACACCAGTGGCGGTCGGTGCCGTTTAAGATGAGGGAGGATGATTATTTATTTTTTATGAGCATGGCCTTATTTCTATGACAGCGTATTGGATGACTGTCATTCATATTCCATTCACCCAGCTCAATGTAACATCGATAGGTTTAGGCTACTAGATGATACTCGAATTTTCCCTGTACCAATCATGAGGTTGCTACAACCTAGCCTACGAAGGAAAGTTTGCAACGTAGGGCCACAGGTCGAGAGAATTTTGAGTGCATCTAGTTGATTTAGGGTGTAATCATTAGTCCAACAGTTGCAAATGAGAGTTTCTATTGGACAAATTCAGGTATGTTTATCCCCACTTCTTTCAGTTTTGCTTCCGTTTAAGAAATTTTTTTCAACAGAATCGGCGGAATGAATACACCCCTGATCACACGCAAAGAGTTAACTTTCATAGCAGCCACATACAAACAGCATGATCACTTTTCTTGTTGAACAGTATATATAAATCCTTCTTGCAACTATCTACGCGCTCTCCTCCTCTCACCTTTTCCCTTCGCTTTCCTCTCACCTTTTCTCTTCACAACACATCAGCAGTCTGTGACCAGGCAAAAAAACATTACAAGCCAAACCTTCATATCATGACCGCTAACTGCTACACATAGCCTACATCGTTGTCACGTCATAGTTCTAGTAGTTCTAGTTCACTAACACGTTAGTAAACCTGCTACAATCATGCAGTACAGTGTATAGTCAGAAAGCAGTTTAGCAATAAATGAAATCAAATTGTCTTTGTCACATGCGCTGAATACAACAGATGTAGACCTCACCGTGAAATGCTTATTTACAAGCCCTTAACCAACAATGCAATTTAAGAAAGAATACCAAAAAAAAACATTAAATAACACAATAATAAGAAATGAAAGTAACATATAATCAAAGAGCAACAGTAAAATAACAATAGCGAGGCTATAAACGGGGAGTACCGGTACGAGTAAATGTGCGGGGGCACCGGTTAGTCGAGGTAATTGAGGTAATATGTACATGTAGGTAGAGTTATTAAAGTGATTATGAATAAATAATAAACAGAGAGTAGCAGCAGTGTAGAAGAGGGGGGGACACACACACAATGCAAAAAGTCTGGGTAGCTATTTGATTAGATGTTCAGGAGTCTTATGGCTTGGGGGTAGAAGCTGTTTAGAAGCCTCTTGGACCTAGACTTGGCGCTCCGGTACCGCTTGCCGTGCGGTAACAGAGAGAACAGTCTATGACTAGGGTGGCTGGAGTCTTTGACAATTTTGAGAGCCTTCCTCTGACACCGCCTGGTATAGAGGTCCTGGATGGCAGGAAGCTTGACACCAGTGATGCACTGGGCCGTACGCACTACCCTTTGTAATGCCTTGCGGTCGAAGGACGAGCAGTTGCATACCAGGCAGTGATGCAACCAGTCAGGATGCTCTCGATGGTGCAGCTGTAGAACCTTTTTAAGGATCTGAGGACCCATGCCAAATATTTTCAGTCTCCTTAGGGGGAATAGGTTTTGTTGTGCCCTCTTCACAACTGTCTTGGTGTGCTTGGACCATGTTCGTTTGTTGGTGATGTGGACACCAAGGAACTTGACGCTCTCAACCTGCTCCACTACAGCCCTGTTGATGAGAATGGGGGCATGCTCTGTCCTCTTCTTTTTCCTGTAGTCCACAATCATCGCCTTTGTCTTGATCACGTTGAGGGAGAGGTTGTTGTCCTGGCCCCACACGGCCAGGTCTCTGACCTACTCCCTATAGGTTGTCTTGTCGGTGATCAGGCCTACCGCTGTTGTCATCGGCAAACTTAATGATGGTGTTGGAGTCGTGCCTGGCCATGCAGTCAACAGGGAGTACAGGAGGGGACTGAGCACGCACCCCTGAGGGGCCCCCGTGTTGAGGATCAGTGTGGCGGATGTGTTGTTACCTACCCTTACCACCTGGGGGCGGTCCGTCAGGAAGTCCAGGATCCAGTTGCAGAGGGATGTTTTTAGTCCCAGGGTCCTTAGCTTAGTGATGAGCTTTGAGGGTACTATGGTGTTGAACGCTGAGCTGTAGTCAATGAATAGCATTCTCACATAGGTGTTCCTTTTGTCCAGGTGTGAAAGGGCAGTGTGGAGCGCAAAAGAGATTGCATCATCTGTGGATCTGTTGGGGCGGTATGCAAATTGGAGTGGGTCTAGGGCAGGGGTGTCAAACTCATTTTAGCTCAGGGGCCACATGGAGGAAAATCTATTCCCAAGTGGGCCGGACCGGAAAAATCATGGTATATATAACTTAAAAACAACAACTTCAGATTGTTTTCTTTGTTTTAATACGATCAACATACAACATAAAGCTGGAGCCTGAGGACAGTGTGTCCAAAATAGTACAAGCACAACATCACTATTAATCATAAAACACGTCAAGTTTATTTGAAAATTCTAAAGAAAAAGAACACACAAACACACAATGCCTCAGTGATTAACAGAACTGTTTCACAGATCACAGAACTATATCAGGGTGTCATTTCTCAGGCAGAAATGTAGATAAAAATAATGAAATCCTGTTCCCCAAACAAGTGCAAGAACCACAGAGTCAAGAATAGGTTAAATATACAAATAAAATAAAATCAATTAAAAACAATAGCACATCAACATAAAAACATATAAACATAAAGCTGGAGCCTGAGGACAGTGTCCAAAAGCACAACATCACTATTAATCATAAAACACCTCAAGTTATTTGAAAGTTCTGAGGACAAAGAACACACAAACACACAATGCCTCAGTGATTAACATAACTGTTTCACAGATCACAGAACTATATCAGGGTGTCATTTCTCAGGCAGAAATGTAGATAAAAATAATGAAATCCTGTTCCCCAAACAAGTGCAAGAACCACAGAGTCAAGAATAGGTTAAATATACAAATAAAATAAAATCAATTAAAAAAAATAGCACATCAACATAAAAACATATAAACATAAATCTGAAAGCGTTGCTCAAACTCCCGTAACAGTCCCGTTATTTTATCTTTGAACCGCTTCATGTCTGCCACATGTTGGGTCGCGCACACATTTTTCAGACAGGGGAAGTGAGCTGCATCACCACCGGCAAGTTGCGTCTCCCACAATGACAGCTTCAACTTGAAAGAACGTATGCTGTCATAATACTGCGTGACAACTTTGTTGCGCCCTTGCAG